AACATCCAAACAAACAAACAAAGAAACAAAAACATCCAAACAAACCATCAAACAACAAATAATTTCACATAAAACAAAACATAAAAACAAAACAAAAACAAAAACCAATCCAAACAAAGCCTAAAAACCGGCCCTCAGCCACTCACCGCAACCGGACTCGTCTTCTCCGCCGTGACAATGTGCTGTCCCGTCACACACCATGTAGTCCGGGAGACAGTGGCCGTTGTCGCAGATGAAGTCCGTTTCGCCACATTCTGAAGGAGGGAGTGGTGGGGTGAGAGGGAGAAAGGGAGGAGGGGAGAGAGGGAAAGGAGGGAAGGGTGAGAGGGAGAGGGAGGGAAAGAGAGGGAGGGAGAGGGTGAGGTGGGAGGGAGGGAGAGAGAAGGAGGGAGGGAGAGGAGCGGTGGGAGGGGGGAGGGGGGAGGAGAGGGAGGAAGGGAGAAAGGAGAGAGAAAGGGAAGGAGGGAGAGGGTGAAAGGGAGAGGAGAGAGAGAGGGTGAGGGTAGGAGAGGGTGAGGGGGAGGGAGGGAAGGGAGGTGAGAGGGTGGGAGGGAGAGAGAGTGGGTGGGAGGAAGGAGGGAAGGAGGGGGAGAGAGAGGGGGAGAGGAGGTGGGAGAGGGAGGGTGGGAGGGGAAGGAGGGATGGAGAGGGATGGGAGGAAAGGTGGGAGGGTGGGAGGGAGAGAGAGGGTGAGGGTTAGGGAGAGAGGGAGGGATGGAAGGAGGGAGCGCGTGAGGGGGAGGGGGGAGGGAGGAAGGGTGGGAGGGATGGAGTGGAGGGAGGGTGGAGGGAGAGGGCTGGGTGGGAGAGGTGGAGGGAGAAAGGGAGAGAGGAGAGGGATGGAGAGGGAGACGGGAGGGGAGGGAGGTGGGAGAAAGGGAGGGGAGGGAGGGTGGCGTGGAGGGAGGAGGTGAGGGTGGGAGGGAGGGAGAGAGAAGGAGGGAGGGTGGGTGGGAGGGTGTGAAAGGATAGAGAGAGGTATAGAGGGAAAGAGAGGAGGGAGGGTGGGAAGGAGGGAGAGGAAGTGGTGGAGGGTGGGGTGAAAAGGAGAGAGAGGAAGGAGAGAGAGGGATGGAGGGTGAGGGAGGATGAGGGTGGGAGGAGAGGAAGGGAGGGAGGGGAGGGGGGGAGGGGGAGGGGGAGAGGTGGGAGAGGGATGGAGGGTGGGTGGGGGAGGGTGGGAGAGGGATGGAAAGGGAGGGAGGAGAAAGAGAGAGATGGAGATAGATAGATTAGAGAGAGACAGGCAGAGACAGAGACAGAAACAGAAGAGAAAGAGGCAGAAACAGAGAAAAAAGAGAACGAAAGATGAGAACATTTCCCAATCATATATGGAAAAAAAAAACAATCCCATATCTACCGCATTCCTCTGACGCCTCCTCCTAGATAGATAGATAGATAGATAGATATAGATAGAGAGAGAGAGAGAGAGAGAGAAAGAGAAAAAGAGAGAGAGAGGAGAGAGAGGAGAGAGAGAACGAGAGAGAGAGAGAGAGAGAGAGAGAGAGAGAGAGAGAGAGAGAGAGAGAGAGAGAGAGAGAGAGAGAGAGAGAGACAAAGACAGCGAAATAGACAGAGACAGAAGAGAAAGAGATAAAGACAGCGAGAAAGAAAGATCGAAAATTTCTGTCTTAATATGGAAAAAAAGAGAAAAAACTCAATCCCACATTTACCGCATTCCTCTGCCGCCTCCTCCTAGATAGATAGAGAGAGAGACGGAGAAAGAAATAAAGCGAGAGACAGAGCAAGAGACAGAGACAGCGAAAAGAAGAACGAAAATTTCCAATCATCTGTGGACAAAGAAAAAAACAAAAAATCACCCATACTCACCGCATTCCTCTGCCGCCTCCTCCTCGCCGTTGGGACAGTCCTCCCTCTCGTCGCACATGTAGATCTCGTAGATACAGGTGTCGTCGTCGCAGTGGAAGCCGCCGTTGCACGTGGCTGAGGGACGTGGGTGGGGGAGAGGGAGGTGAGACGCGCGTACAGGGGCGTGTCTTGCGGGTGAAGGGTGTGGGGTGGGTGTGGTATGTGGGAGAGAGGGTTGTGGGTGGGTCTGTGTGTGTATGTGGGTGAGAGGGTGGGGGTGTGTGTGGTATGTGGGAGAAGGGTGTGGTGTGGTATGTGGGAGAGGGTGTGTATGTGGGTGTGTATGGGTTGTGTGGTTATGTGGGAGAGAGGGTGTTGGTGTGGTATGTGGGAGAGAGGGTGTGGTGTGGGTGGCGTGTGGGGGTGGTGTGGTATGTGGGTGAGAGGGTGTGGGTTGTGGTTGTGGTGTGGTTTGTGGAGAGAGGGGTGGGGCGTGGTGTGGTATGTGGGAGAGAGGGTGTGGGGTGGGGTGTGGTGTGGTGAGAGGGTGTGGTTGTGGGTTGTGGTGTGGTAGAGGGATGGGTTGTGGCGTCGTATGTGGGAGAGAATTGTGGTATGTGGAGAGAGTGAGTGGGGCGGTGTGGTATGTTGCAAAGGTGTGATGGGGTGTTTTATGTAAGAGATGTGACGTGGTATAGTATGTGAGAGAGAGGGAGGCTTCGTGGTATGTGAGAATGGTGTGGTCGTGGTGTTTTATGTAGGAAAGGTTTAACGTGATGTGTTATGTGGCAATGTAGGACGGTTTATTTTGTACAAGAGATGTGATGTCATGTACTGTTTAAGAGGAATGCGAATGGCTTGGAACGTGAAATGTGTGTGATGTGCTGTGTTATAGGAGACACGTTTCTATGTAAGAAATATGTCTTTTGAAGGAAATGTGTCACATGAAATAAAATGTGATGTGGTTTGTTATGTGAAAAAAAAATGAGACGTGTTTTTTTTGTGCATATGAGATCGTGTGTGATATGAGAGAGAGAAGATACAGTTTATTATGAGAAAGTTTGTTATGCAGTTCGGCTTGTGAAAGATATACCAGGTATATAGACAAGAACACTATAAAATATTCACCTTTCAAACCACAACAGCAAAAAAATAGAAGTCATTTAGGAAAAGAACATCAATAACAGGTATATAGACAAAGATACTGTAAAATATTCACCTTGCAAACCATAAGAGCCTAAAAAAAAAAACAAGACATATAGAAAAGAACAACAATTAAACACAAACTTGCAAACCACAACAGCAGAAAAAGGAGACACAGAGAAAAGAACATCAACAGAAACACAGAATACAAAACCTCAGAGAACTCACAGCAGCCAATCTCATCCTCATTCCCCTAGCAGTCCATATGACCGTCGCACACGAACTGTTCCAGGATGCAGGGGCCTCCGTCAGGGCACTGGAAGCTGCCGTCGGGACATGGCGGGGGGTTCACGGCTGGAAAGAGGTGGTAGGTGGGAGAGAGAGAGAAAAAAAAATACTTTCTAGTCCATCTGTTTGTCGTTTTTTTGTCTCTTACTCTTTCTCTTTCTTGATCTCTCTCTCTCTCTCTCTCTCTCTCTTCTCTCCTCTCTCTCTCTCTCTCTCTCTCGCTCCTCCCTCCCCTCCTCCTCTCCCCCCATCACTCTCCCCCTCCTCTCTCCCTTGCTCTCCTTCCCTCTTTCTCCTCTCTGCCCTCCCTCCCTTCTTCTTTCCCTCTCCCTCTCTCCCTCCTCCTTTCCCTCCCTCCCTCCCTCCCTCTCCCTCAACACAAAGACGACTCACGGCAGTTGATCTCGTCCTCTCCGCCCTCACAGTTCATACTCCCTCTCCCTCCCTCTCCCTCTCTCCCTCTCGCCTCCCTCCCTATCCCTCTCCCTTGCCCTCCCTCCCTCCTTCCTCCCCCCTCCCTTGCCTCCCTCTCCTCTCCCCCCTCCCTCTCCCTTGCCCCTCCTCCCTATCCCTCTTCCCTCCTTCCTCCCTCCCTCCCTCCTCTCAACCAGAAAGACGACTCACGGCAGTTGATCTCGTCCTCCCGCCCTCACAGTTCATACTCTCTTCTCTCTCTCTCTCCTCTCCTCTCCCTCCTTCCCTCCCTATCCCTCTCCCCCCTTCCTTCTCCCTCCCTCCCTCCCTCTCCATCTCTCCCTCTCCCTCTCTCCCTCCCTCCCTCCCTCTCCCTCAACCACAAAGACGACTCACGGCAGTTGATCTCGTCCTCGCCGCCCTCACAGTTCATACTCTCTTTCTCTCCTCTCTCCTCTCCCTCCCTCTCTCTCTCCCTCCTCCCTATCCCTCTCCCTCCCTCCCTCTCTCTCCTTCCCTCCCTCCCCCTCTCCCTCAACCACAAAGACGACTCACGGCAGTTGATCTCGTCCTCGCCGCCCTCACAGTCGTCGTATCGGTTGCACACCTGATGCTCCGCGATGCACTTGTTCTCGGCGCAGTGGAAGTAGCCCTCGGCGCACGTGTCTGATAACAACAGTGATAACTATTATGACAATGCTAGCGCCGATAGTAACAATAGTGCTAATATTGATAACAATCATAATAGTGATAACAGTGATAACAACAATAACGATGATAACAACCATAACAGTGATAACAATGATAACAACCATGACAGTGATAACAATGATAACAACCATAACAGTGATAACAACATTGATACCTGATAATTACAATAATGATTGCTACAATGATGGCAATAATAACATGATAACAATGCTAACATGATAACTGATAACAATGATAAAATTATGACAGCAAAGACAATGATAATAACAATAACAGCAACAAAGATAACTAAATTCAACAGTAATAACATAATAACAAAAACGATAACAATATTGACAACAATACTAACAACAGCGATGACAACTGATAACAAGTCATCATAATCATAACAATGATAACTAATAACAACAATCATAACATTCATAACAATGATAACAATCCTATGAATCACAACAACAGCGAAAAATGGCAACAATCGTATGAATCACAAAAACAACGAAAACTGACAACAACAATCACAATAACCATAACAAAACAGATAACAGATAACAAAACTGATAACAAGATCCCCCACCGCAGTCGAGCTCGTCCTTGCCGTCGCCCCAGCAGTCGTCACGCCCATCGCAGACCCAGCGCTGAGGGATGCACTGGGGGGCGCACTCGAAGGCCCCCGGGCGACACGTGGCTGCGAGACCACGTGGCTTTGTTATTGTTTTGGTTCGGGGATTCGGGGAGGAGGGAGGGGGATGGATGGAGGGATGGAGGAAAGAGGAAGGGGAGGGATGGAGGAGAGGAAGGGTAGTTAGGAGGGGGGGGAAGGAGAGGGAGGAGGGATGGGAGGAGAGGAAGGGGTAGTTAGGATGAGGGGGAAGGGAGAGGGAGGGAGGATAGTTAGGAGAGGGGGAAGGTAGAGGAAGGGAGGAGGGTTGAGGGGGAAGGGAGGAGGAGGGATTGAGGAGGGGATAGTTAGCAGAGGGGGAAGGGAGAGGAAGGGAGGGGGGTTAAAGGGAGGTAGTTAGGAGGAGGGGAAGGGGTAGTAAGAAAGGGGAGAGGTATTAAAGGGGAAGGCGGTTAAGGGGGAGGAAGTAGAGGGGGGCTAGGGTAGGGGTAGTGAGGAGGGGAGGGGCGAAAGTGAGAAAGAGACAAAAAGTTTTTCTTTCTTTCTTTCTTTTTCTTTTCTTTTTTTCTTATTTATTATTATTTTTATTTATTTTATAAGAATCAACCCCTTCACCTCCGATATGGGAAGAAACACACAGCCAAAGAGCGGACTAAGAATCTGTAATATTACAAGCCAATCAGCTGTGAAATAAGTACAATAAGGACGGACATTTAGCAAGGGTTTCCAGCAAAGGTTTCCAGCAAATGAGACTGAAAACGCCAGTAGAGTTAAAGACGAAAGGAGAAGTTGTTGGTAAGATTCAAATCCTTCATCGTCAAGAGTAGATAACGAGGGGGCTTTTATTGGCATGAAATGACCATTTGGGTTGTTTTGTCGTTATTAAATTTAACCATGTGCACCTCCTTACCTGCTGTTCAGTTCCTGTCAGTTCACGAGTAAGAGGGAGAGAGAGGGAGAGGAAGAGGGAGAGAGAGAGAGAGAGAGAGAGAGAGAGAGAGAGAGAGAGAGAGAGAGAGAGAGAGAGAGAGAGAGAGAGAGAGAGAGAGAGAGAGAGAGAGAGAGCGAGAAGAGCGAGAGAGCGAGAGCGCGAGAGGCGAGAGCGCGAGAGCGAGAGAGCGAGAGCGCGAGCGCGAGAGCGAGAGCGCGAGAGCAAGAGCGAGAGAGAGGGAGTGAGAGAGAGAGGGAGAGGGAGAGGAAGAGAGACAGAGAGAGAGGGAGAGAGGGAGAGAGAGAGAGAGAAGAGAGAGAAGAGAGAGAGAGAGAGAGAGAGGAGAGAGAGAAGAGAGAGAGAGAGAGGAGAGAGAGAGAGAGAGGAGGAGAGAGAGGGAGGAGAGAGAGAGAGAGAGAGAGGGGAGAGGGAGAGGAAGAGGAGAGAGAGAGACAGAGAGAGAAGGAGAGAGAGAAGAGAGAGAGAGAGAGAGAGAGAGAGAGAGAGAGCGAGAGCGCGAGAGCGCGAGAGCGCGAGAGCGCGAGAGCGAGAGCGAGAGCGCGAGAGCGAGAGCGCGAGAGCAAGAGCGAGAGAGAGGGGAGAGAGAGAGAGGAGAGGGAGAGGAAGAGAGACAGAGAGAGAGGAGAAGAGGGAGAAGAGAGGAGAGAGAGGGAGAGAGAGAGAGAGAGAGAGAGAGAGAGAGAGAGAGAGAGAGAGAGAGGAGAGAGAGAGAGAGAGAGAGGAGAGGGAGAGAGAAGAGAGAGAGCGAGCGAGAGAGAGGAGTGAGAGGAGAGAGAAGGAGAGGGAGAGGGAGAGGAAGAGGGAGAGGAGAGAGACAGAGAGAGACAGAGAGAGGATAGAAGAGAGAGAGAGAGAGAGAGAGAGAGAGAGAGAGAGAGAGAGAGGAGAGAGAGAGAGAGAGAGAGAGAGAGAGAGAGAGAGAGAGAGAGAGAGAGAGAGAGGAAGAGAGCGATTGAGCGAGAGAGAGGAAGAGGAAGAGAGAGAGAGAGAGAGAGAGAGAGGAGAGTGAGAGAGAGAGGAAGAGAGAGAGTTTAAAGACGAAAGGAGTTGTTGGTAAGATTCAAATCCTTCATCGTCAAGAGTAGATAACGAGGGGGATTTTATTGGCATGAAATGACCATTTGGGTTGTTTTGTCGTTATTAAATTTAACCATGTGCACCTCCTTACCTGCTGTTCAGTTCCTGTCAGTTCACGAGTAAGAGGGAGAGAGAGGGAGAGGAGAGAGAGAGAGAGAGAGAGAGAGAGAGAGAGAGAGAGAGAGAGAGAGAGAGAGAGAGAGAGAGAGAGAGAGAGAGAGAGAGAGAGGGCGAGAGCGCGAGAGAGCGAGAGAGCGAGAGCGCGAGAGAGCGAGAGCGCGAGAGCGAGAGAGCGAGAGCGAGAGCGCGAGAGCGAGAGCGCGAGAGCAAGAGCGAGAGAGAGGGAGTGAGAGAGAGAGGGAGAGGGAGAGGAAGAGAGACAGAGAGAGAGGGAGAGAGGGAGAGGAGAGAGAGAGAGAGAGAGAAAGAGAGAGAGAGAGAGAGAGAGAGAGAGAGAGAGAGAGAGAGAGAGAGAGAGAGAGAGCAAGAGCGAGAGAGAGGGAGTGAGAGAGAGAGAGAGGGAGAGGGAGAGGGAGAGGAAGAGGGAGAGGAAGAGAGACAGAGAGAGAAGGAGAGAGAGACAGAGAGAGAGAGAGAGAGAGAGAGAGAGAGAGAGAGAGAGAGGAGAGCGCGAGAGCGCGAGAGCGCGAGAGCGAGAGCGCGAGAGGAGAGAGAGCGAGAGCGAGAGAGAGGGATTGAGAGAGAGAGAGGGAGAGGAAGAGAGACAGAGAGAGAGGGAGGAGAGGGGAGAGGAGGGAGAGAGAGGAGAGAGAGAGAGAGAGAGAGAGAGAGAGAGAGAGAGAGAGAGAGAGAGAGAGAGAGAGAGAGAGAGAGAGAGAGAAAGAGGAGAGAGAGGGAGTGAGAGAGGAGAGAGAGAGGAGAGGAAGAGGAAGAGGGAGAGAAGAGAGGACAAGAGAGAAGGAGGAGAGAGAGAGAGAGAGAGAGAGAGAGAGAGAGAGAGAGAGAGAGAGAGAGAGAGAGAGAGAGAGAGAGAGAGAGAGAGAGAGAGAGAGAGAGGAGAGAGCGATTGAGCGAGAGAGAGGAAGAGGAAGAGAGAGAGAGAGAGAGAGAGGAGAGGAGAGAGAGGAGAGAGAGAGAAGAGAGAGAGAGAGAGGAGAGAGAGAGAGAGAGAGAGAGAGAGAGAGAGAGAGAGAGAGAGAGAGAGAGAGAGAGAGAGAGAGAGAGAGGAGAAGAGCGAGAGAGAGAGAGAGAGGAAGAAGAGAGAGAGAGAGAGAGAGGAGAGAGCGAGTGAGCGAGAGAGAGGAAGAGGAAGAGAGAGAGAGAGAGAGAAAGGGGATCGTAATCTCACTGGCTTTGCACTGGGAATCAACGAGAAAAGTATGGCTAGGATATGCAATTGAGGAGAAATACAAGGAGTTGATGAAGAAGATGAAGAATAGGAGGAAGAAGAAGAAACAGAACAATAATAATAATAAGAAGAAAAAGAGGAGGATGAAGAAGAAGCAGATTAATAATAATGATAAGAAGAAAAAGAGGAGGAGAAAGAATTAGAAATAGCAGAACTAGTGGAAAAAAGAAAAGGATAAAGAAGAAGAAGAAACGAGAAGGAGAAGAAGAAGAAAAAAGAAGAAAAGACAAGGAAACCCACAGACCTGACGGAGTGAGAGCTGGAGAGGAAGGCACCTGAAAGCATCTGCGTCTAAATGTGTTTATCAAAGCAATTTCCCGAAAATACGATTATTAAATATTTTGTAAGTATATACTTTCATCTATAGCGTAATTATCGTTATCTTCAAGTTAATGCACGTGAACAGATTGATGTATAAGTCACAGTTGAAGGATTAAACCAAGAATACATTTGATAAACGTATTTTTTTTTTCACAATTTGTTGGCAGATTTGCAGAAGGCAATTTTACTCTCATAAGAATCGAGGATAGAGAATCTAGTATGAGTTACACAAGCAATAGAAGAGTTAAAATATGAGTTACAGAGGCAATATATGAGTTAAAAACATGAGTTACAGAGGCAATATATGAGTTAAAAATATGAGTTACAGAGGCAATATATAAGTTTAAAATATTAGTTACAGAGGCAAGTAAATTTATCATTAGATTTTACTTGTCGAAAATAACCCTGGTGCTAATTATTTTCATTTATTTTTTTATCATTATTATTATTTTTTTTTTTTTGGGGGGGGGGTCAAGAAAAGTGATTAATTGTTTGATAATGATAGTTTCCAGTGTGATATCAACGACGTGATTGCTATGATGAAAAAAAAATATTGTGAGACAGCATTCCAAGGGGTGCGAGGAGTGTCCATCTTGAAGACAAGAAATTAATCTATTTATTAACCGTAATCAAGAAATAGGAAGAAAAGAGCCATTGAATTGAAGATCAATTTATATAAACGTTTTAAAGTTAGTTCTTTGATTTTTACATGGAGATATTTCAAGAAAGGGATTATTATTTGTAAGATTTATTCAAGACATGTCTTCTTGTCCATATGTTTGATTTTTGTTAGCATATTATTAGAAAATGAAAATGAATATCTTCTTTTGTTGATCAGATTTAGTATAAATTCACCTCCTTTACCCTTAAATAGGCTACAGATTTAAAGGGAGCGCGGGGACACAGTAAAATATTCTCTGGGGTACGGGCGTAAAAAATGTTGGGAACCACTGGGATAGAGGAAATGCCTTCATGTCTCATTTTCCCAACGATTGCAGACTAAATAGATAAAAAAAAAAACTACCTCATATCCACGAAGTTTTATCAATTCTACGAAAGAAGAGACATGCCCTTCAGACTCACCAGCCGCCGCCGCAACCAAACCAAAGACAACCAACAACTTTCCGAACATGGCCACGCGGTTGAGTAACGAGGGACCCGAAAACGCAAGCAATTTATACATCTTAAGTCCAAATAATAGCTGACCATGACCCTTCCTCACCTCCCTCGCCCCCCTTACCCCCTAAAAAAATCAATCAACGTTTCTTTTATCGAATAATCTTGCTTTGTTTTCGATAAGTTGGATTCTGATGCAGTGGTACCTCCCAGGGTTGTGGGAACGGGCCATTGTCAACATCTTTGGTGATAAATGGAATTAAAAAAAAAACGAAGATGAATGAAATAAAAGATAACGCGGATATTTTGTTGGTTCATGTGAGCGAAAGAGGAAAATAAAATCTTGCTTTTTGCTCATTTCAGAGAAAAACAACGTCTGTTATTTTCTCGTCTTTTGCTACTGTATTTCAGTTGAATACAAGATGACCCCTACAGTAGCAGAGGGTAGATCATCAGTAGATATTAGGGTAGATGAAGGTAGATTAAGAAGAGATTTTCGAGTAGATTTCAGAGCAGATTTGCAGCAGAGAGAAATGTACGAGTAAATGTCCTCGAGTGAACAAAAGATAATAAGCAAAAATTAGAGTAAAGTAAGATATATTAAGAGAGACTTCAGACAAATTACTCATAATTATACACCATTAAACACCTCTTCATATTGTGTCATTTGTTGCTGCTGATAAAAAGTAGATAAACGACTTAGTTGTTAAAATTGCTCAAGGCCCAAAGAAACAAATATCTATCATCTATCTGATAGATATACATTCATCTGTCTATATATCCGGTAGATATACCTATCTAAACAGATACACATTTATTGCTGTGTATATACATGTCTTACGGAAGGCTTGTTAACATTGTGCGTTACCTGACCCAAAGAATATTCGTGTACTTGACATGCACAAATAAAGAAATAAATGAATATTCATCAGTCTAGACATGCATATCTACCGGATAAATAGATAGATGAATGTGTATCTGTCGGATATATAGACAGATATGTATTTATCTTTGTGTATATACGTGTATATATAATGAATGAATATTCCTTGGGTCGGGCCTGGCACAGTTCTAACAAGCCGGCACAAAAAAAGAAGAAAAAAAAGAAAGAAAAAAAGAGAAAAAAATATATATATACATATATATATATATATATAATATATATATATATATATATATATATAATAATAGATAAAAATGTTAATGACTTTCAAGTACATCTTGCAGATTCCCAGGCGGCACAGAGTCTGTCCTTGGGGGTCTGTTGCCCCCTCCCTCCCCCCCCAAAAAAAAAAATAATAAAAATAATAAAACAAATAAGATAAAACAACAAATGAAAAATAATAAAACAAAATAAGATTTTAAAAAATAAAATATATACATATATATATAAAGAGGGGCACAAGTCACAAATTATATAGATAAACTTACCTTTTATAATGTTATATTATTTTTCTAATTTTGTAATTGTTCGTATAGGCCTACTTGCTATTATCTTTATTCTGAACACATGCATTTTTATTCTGCGAGAGGCAATAATGATGATAATAATATTAATCATGATAGCGAAGGTGTTGATAGAAATGGTAATGATAATGACAATAATAATAGTCATAATGATAATAGTAATAATAATAGTGATGATGATGATAAAATTGATAAAAGCAATAATGATATCAAAAACAGTAATAGTAATAAAGATGATAACAATAATAATGATAATAATACTTCTAATGACATATTGATGATGATAAAACAATTATGTTATCAAAAACTAAATTAAAAAAAAATGAATCATCCGAATATTTTGTCACCTTCAGAGATCTATCAAATCTCTAGAATCTAATTTAATCAATCAATCTATTCTAGCCATTACCCATTTTCTTTAATTCATCCCGAGCATCTATTCATACATTACTCTTTACCGCAAATCTACTCTTAAATATATCCCAAAATATCTTCTTAATCTTTCTTCATCTATCCTAAAATCTATTCATAATCTATCGTCTACTGTTTTAGGGCCTATGCTATATTAATCTAAAATACCTCTTGTTCATATGCATTGTAATATTCACTAAAATAGAGTAGTAAATATAAAATAGATAAATGTAGCCTCATAATGTTTTCTGATGCATACGACATCTATTGGGCATTTTCAAAACTAGTTTCTTGTAAACATTGGAAGCCATTTTGTTACTCCGGGAAGCCAAGGGAGGTAATATATCAAGGTTTATCTATGCAATCTGATGTTGTATTATCTTATTAGAATAAGTAATTGATATATTGTGATGCGAAGACGTAACTAGATAAATATATAAAAGGAGTAATACCTGATAGTATATGAAATAAGGATGATACGTTGAAGAATGTGATAGCCAATATTTTAATTTTCAGATGAATGAACATCATAGGCTAATGCGAGAATTCCAGAGGCTCTTGAAAGAAAGAGAATATGAGTACAAGAAGTTTCTTTTGTGTGGAATTCATGACGAACAGACTGCAACAGGAACAACGAAGGGAAGAACAAGTAAAGGCATATTCGTGTGTTTTCTTGTTCTTCCCTTCGTTGTTCCTGTTACAAAGTTTTTCTTATGAAAGATTTGGTTGCAACTCAAACTAAAGTAAAGATGTCAAATGCAACGGAGAAATGTGAGTTAGAAGTTCATGAAACTAAGAAAAGT